ACATAGGTCTACGTCATGGTTCACAGCGGGAATACAAAAGCTCCCACGAAGATGGCAAAGGTGCGTAGACGTAGGTGGAGAATATTTTGAAAAAGAGTAGAAAGATTTTTTTTTAAATGTTGAATGGTTTTCGAGAACGAGTCAAAAGTCCGGATATTTTCTGACCGCCCCTCGTATGTACAAATTAAATTTGGAGGATATGTATTTCATACAGATTTTTAACTGAACAGAAAATATAACTTCTATGCGTTTTATTATAAAATGTCATTGCAGTTTAAAACTTCAATTGCGATTTTCTTAAAATGACAATTATGACATTTGGGTATGCAGAATTAAGCCAATGCACGTCAATAAAAGCAACACATTTGATTTGCAATCCGTAACCTGATCTGTTATATCTGGGCACTGCTGTAAGAATCGGCACGAATCTTGGAAATAGACATTTCAATGTATCACGTGATGGATTTTCAAGGCCGTGGAAATATCACTCACGATTTTACTACATTATTCCGTAAAAAGCGCAAAATTACACTTCCGGTAGAAAAATGATGTACAAAATCAGAAAATAAATGAACTTATAAATGATAAGAATTATAGTAATGGTTAAATATGTAAAAACTTTACATACATTTTTTGTATCTATTTTCATAAACTAGCACATTAAAGGTAACGTTTAAGCAAAATATGTGATTAGAGATGAATAAAAGTGGTGGACGGGATTTTCCAAACTCCGACGCAGTAGTTCCCCTTTGCTTCGCTTCACAGAGCGAAACATACCTGTATTTAGCTATATTTATTTACGAAGTGCAAAAATCTGGTTTACATGTATACTAAAAATGTCATGCTTGATATTAAATCATAAGAGTTTCCCGCGCCAAAGGTAACACTTGATTTCATATTATAAAAAAATGCATCAGGTATAGATTCATGCACTGTTAATTTTCGTGAATAGGCATGATTAAATCGCCGTTTAGTGATGAAAATCGTAAAGCTTGTGAAGATTTCCAATCCCAAACGTGCCGCCTCTAACACGGCTCTGTTTTCTAAGTCGGTTGGTGTTTTTAACACGACCCTCTCAACGGGAAATTGGATTGTTTTTGTGTTTGTGTGCGTGTATGCGCGCGCGTGCGTATGTGCATGCATGTGTGTGTTTTGCCTTTATATGCTCCTTATAAAATAAATTTATCTTGCTTAACTGAAACCAATTATAAATGTGAGGTAAAAAAAGACTCTTTTCAAAAGAATGAACCGTTCCAATTCAATGTGTACTTTCCTTAAATCATGTATCAGTAAGTAGTTGGCACTGTCAATAATTAATCAATTTATTTTTATAGATTTGTAATGTTTGTTTCAGTAGTTTGCGCATATTCACCATTTTTATGCCCCCACAATGTGGGAGCATATAGCGTTGCACTTGTCCGTCCGTCAGTCCGTCCGTCAGTCCGTCAGTCCGTCCGTACGTCCCGAAATCTTGTGAACGCAACTCCTCTTAAACCGGATGGCACATTTTGCTTAAACTTACAGGGATGAACAACCTTAATGTGTAGATGGTAGTAAAGGAAGGAATTTTCGCTTCGACCAAATTTAACAGAATTATGGCCCTTTGTTGATTTTTTCACTAGATACTATGTAGAAATTTTGTGAACGCAACTCCTCTTAAACCGGATGGCAGATTTTGCTTAAACTTACAGGGATGAACAACTTTAAGGTGTAGATGGTAGTAAAGGAAGGAATTTTTGCTGCGACCAAATTTAACAGAATTGTGGCCCTTTGTTGATTTTTTCACTATATACTATGTAGAAATTTTGTGAACGCAACTCCTCTTAAACCAGATGGCAGATTTTGCTTAAACTTACAGGGATGAACAACCTTAAGGTGTAGATGGTAGTAAAGGAAGGAATTTTTGCTGCGACCAAATTTTACAGAATTATGGCCCTTTGTTGATTTTTTCACTATATACTATGTAGAAATTTTGTGAATGCAACTCCTCTTAAACCGGATGGCAGATTTTGCTTAAACTTCCAGGGATGAACAACCTTAATGTGTAGATGGTAGTAAAGGAAGGAATTTTTGCTGCAACCAAATTTAACAGAATTATGGCACTTTGTTGATTTTTTCATTATATACTATATAGAAATTTTGTGAACGCAACTCCTCTTAAACCGGATCTCAGATTTTGCTTAAACTTCCAGGGATTAACAACCTTAATGTGTAGATCGTAGTTAAGGAAGGATTTTTTGCTGCAACCAAATTTAACAGAATTATGGCCCTTTGTTGATTTTTAGTTTTCAACTTGTGGCACATGTAGTCCAAAAAATATTTGACCTAGAGTCATAAGATTGACAGAACAGTGGCGTGTGGGGGCATCAGTGTCCTATGGACACATTTCTAGTTTAAACTATTTTCCATTATTTGTCTGCTTTATATAAGATTTATGTTATGCTTAAATGGTCAGGTTTTAATTTATTGAACTTCGATATGTTTACTCTATTTATATTACTTTATTTTGAAAAATGTCTCAAATGTTTGTATTTTCCTGCCGGAAGCGATATCAGACGACAGCTTTAGTTTAATTTTATTCAAATATTTCAATGAAATCCTGCTTGTGTATGATATTATACACGTTGACTTTATACATGGTTTTAATAATGGAAGTTCGATAAGATCCTTGATAGTATTCAGTTATTTCATATGTGATTTTGGAACAGTCAAACTGTTGGCCCGAAGTGGAGGGGATAGTGTTTTGAACTGTTGCCCAAGGCCGTAGGCCGAGGGTAACAGTTCAAAACACTTTCCCCGACACAGAGGGGCAACTGGTTGACTGTTCCCAAATCACATATGCAATAACTGTTTTATTACCTGATCAATTACTGTTTTAACAGTACTTGCAGAAGAGAAAAAGGGACAAGAAGATAGGTTTTTTTCAAATTATGTTAATAATGAAACTTTCGGAATTGTCACGTCACGTCTGGTATATGACGCTCTAAGGGGGATTCCTCTTTGACGTCAGAGCACGTGAGGGAAACAGTCGAAACTATTGACCGGTCAACAGTTCACGAACGTGGATGTTTTAGGAATTTTAGAAAACAGTAAAAACTACCAAATGACATTTATATAAGGTATCAGGTAATAATATTATCTAATTTGTATCTGTATTTGAAAGGCGTGCTCTGAAAAGGTAGTAAAATCCTAGTTCATACTAGAGTACTAGAGTACGAAAAGGTGGCTTGAGTACGAGAAAGGGGAGGGGACAGGTGAGGGAGGCTTTTTTGTCAGAAATAGATCTTCGGTATGCCAAACTCATAACTTTCTGTCAAAGAAAGAAACAAATCAACCTCGGGGCGTTCATATAGTTATCGTATGGTTTGGAACTCTTTCTCTATTCTCACTAGCACATTATATGCAGTAGGTTTTCAATAGTTGATGTATCACAGTACAGTTTTTCATTGATTGATAAAGGAAAAAAACTCAACCTATATTTGCTTAAAGTATTCAGCGTACCCGTTTAAATACTATAACACGACGAAAACAATTGTTAAAAGCAGTTATACAGTTTTGGCCGCCAGAACTACACTAATATATAACAGGCTTTTTCTTGTTTGCACAGTGTAATTTTTCACAGTGTGTTTAAATTGGGAGAAAATAAAAAATTTGCCCCTATCAGTTTATTTTTACTACAGTGAAGGGGGAAGGGCATAAGAGAGGGAAAAGGCTCTGAACATAGTATTATTTTGCTGTTTTCTGTATAAAATGAAATTTGTGATATAGCCGTCAAAACTGTTAATACATAAATTATATAGCCTTGACGTTTTGTAAAGGAGAAACATTACTCAATGTCACCTGTAACACGTAACTAACTCGTTTGATATATTATAACTTTTACATATAACTTAGTAACGGTATTGGTGGGCCCATTATGCCTAATAGAATGCTTTTACATGTACATTTAGAATATAAGAGTTACCAATGGTCAAATACTTGGAGCATCTTATCGTTCATTGCTTTTTGACAAAAAGTACAGTTACAGTGAATTAGTATTGTGTATGAAAGTTAAAATGCTACTGTTTTGTACATGTTGCTACTTTATGAGAAATTATTTAACATTTATTGTTTCTTTATTCAGATAACAATCATTTATCTTTCACTAAACTATTATGTAAACATTGTTTAATTCATGTTTGCTCCTTTTAAAGAAGTAAACATGTTATTCTTAGCCATAATGTGCCTTTTACTCTAATCAACGTAAACAGCTTTGTTATCGTCAAGAATGTTGAATGATGTGTTAACATTATGCACATATATCAATAACGAATTTCATTGGCCAAAGTATAAGGAAAACAGGAGACATAACTTCCTGTCTCGGAGAAATGGTGCCTGGTTATTTTTCCCTTTATAATAACGTTTAATTCACCTATATTTTTCTGTGGAAATCATACTAAAACGGTTAAATTCAGTTGAACATATACCAAATATCATTCTTAGTGTTACAAATTAAAAATCAACATCAAACACAGAAAAAAAGTTTCCACCTTAAGCTTGTGCACACCCTCCTCCTTCATTTTGGACCAGTCCCAGTACGCAAAATTGAAAACAATAAACGCGAGCAAGGCCAAAATTGCTTTGCAAAACTTGTTGATTTATACTGTCATATGAAGCAAATAATACTGAATAATGAAAAATGAAATCATGACAACATATGTAAATATCAACATTCTCACAAAATAGCAACTGTAACCCCCCACCTCCGCTAGGGTTGACCACAAGTTAAAACTAATTCCCGTTTTTACGAAATTTTGTCACAATCCTAAACTGTTGTGTCGTAGATACAGTTGATATGAGAATAATACGGACACCTTGTGCTTTATGAAATAATACATTTTATCATTAAAAACATACATTCGTCTGTTTTATTAAATATATGAAGATGGAAAATGTTTATTATCAAACATGCAATATATTAAATGAAGACATGTCACTGGTTTACATTTTTCTACTTTCAGAACTTCAAGGCGACCTGATTAAATTCTACAGAAAAAGGTGTAGCTCAATACCCCTTTTGCCGCTTCTTGAAGAAATAGAGACACCTTTAGCTGGGTTCTACGTGATGCCAGATATAGTCGCCGTAAAACAGAAGACCCTAACTTGTCATGAAGAGGAAAGAACACCGATCAAGTCTTTAAAAGACCTGTTATCAAGCGGAGATGGAGATCTGCAAGAAATTTATCTATCAGCTGATGCAGGCTTTGGAAAAACTGCTTTCTCAAAATATCTTGCAATCACGTGGTGTCAAGCTCATTGTCATGATGAAAACTACGCCTGTTTTAAAGACAATGTGATAAAATCGTTATCTGACTTTGAGTTCTTATTTCTGGTTTTCTTAAGATACTGTACCTCTGTTTGTAAGGTTGATGATATGATTGAACAGCAAATTACTAGCAAACTTCCTTCATCAGCATCACTAGATGACGTTTTACGTAGAGAAAAATGCTTGATTATTTTGGACGGTCTTGATGAATGGACTCACCCTGTAAATAGTTGTAGCGAAGTAACAGAAAAAATTCCACATCGGTACATACGTGATAATTGTGTTATCCTAACAACAACTCGACCTTGGAAGCTTGGAGTTTCAAATCTCAAAACAAGTCAAGTAAACAAAAAGGTTGAATTGGTTCAATTAAGTGCAGACTCTACGCGACAACTAGAAGAAAATGCCATACGAAAAATGATCGGTTGCCATGAAGATAGAGTTCTTCAGAGTAAAATACAGGAGTTAAATAACTTGATACGTGAACATAGCCTAGAGCACATGCAAGTGATTCCACTCCTCCTCATGTATATAGTTTGCTTATGGTGCAACAACATTCCTATAGGATGTTCAAAGTATGAAGTTTACACCAATATCATTGAATTTCTATTATCAAGAATGTCAAAGAAACACCCGGAAGTTCAACCATCTCGTGAATCGTCTGCCAGTGAAATTCCAGAATACTTCAAAAGTCATGAATTTTGTAAAAAGTTTTATAGTCTTATAACATCATTGGCTGTGCTAGCTTACCAAACATTATTTAAAGAAACAAGAGAAAACACGCTGGTTTTTGAAAGAACGGTTGCTGAAAAATATCTCAAAGCAAACGACATGAAATTAGGTCTTCTCTCAGGAATACTGTCAGAAAGTACAAGTAAAACTTTAATCAAAGAAATTATCAAAGTGTCGTTTTCCCACAAAACAATTCAAGAATTCTTTGCCGCCATATTTATATATTCTCAAAGTGACGCCCAGAAAACTGTTGTAGAAAACTGTAGAAATGTTCAAGACATTCTTGATATGTCAAAAATTTGTGAATTTATAAGTAAAATAAAAGCTGACCTGATGTGTGCAATATCAAATGATTTGATGTCTGTGATAAATGAAGACGACAAAACACGCAACTATAGAACTGGGACAGATTACGAGAGCAATAGTTCATTGTTTAACATACAGAAAATGTTCATGTCGTGTTTACAAGAAATGCCTGAAAGTGAAAATATTCAATTATGTTTACAAGATTTCTTCATTGACGCGAACAATGTGCACAGTAATCAGTTACAACGTTTGGTAAAACAAAATAAAAACAACATAAAATCACTTTATATAAATACCAATGACCATACTTCTAGCAGTTCATGCGACATTATAGATTTATTCTCTCTCACAGATCTAAATCATATACAGAAACTATACTATTGTAATTACACGTGGGAGGAGGCTGAGATAAGTCGGATAATGTTTCCCAGTTTACAGGCCGTATCTTTATTGTGTGGTAATTGGACAAATGATGAAGAAAATCTGAGTGAAAACTTGGCGCGATTACAAAACTTGCAATATTTAGATATTGTCGACTTCACGTTATCTCACAAAATACTGGAAACAATTTTCAATTTTTTTTCCAGTCAAAAATCAATGAAAGAATTAACATTATGGAGGTTAGACTGTAACGAGCATGGCGACCATGATTGTAAGAGATGGAACATGGATTTGTCTAAACATTCAACTCTATCAAAGTTACGCTTGCAGGGGTTACCTTGGCGGCTACAAATAAATATGACAACACCGTCATTAGTTAATGTTACGTTGTGGGGAATCAATCTAGATGAAAGTTCATTGTTACTGTCACGTGATATGTTGAATATTAAACGTGTGGAGTTGGGAGAGATAGAAATGTCTGGAGGAAGTTTACAGAACTTTATTACCGTGCTGGAAAATATTCCGCATTCAGTTACAGTAAAGATGACCCACATTAAACCGGAGACTGAATATGAACGTGTTAAAGAAAATATCCGGAGTTCACCAACTTTTCAGGTGATACAAGAAGTGGAAGGCATTTTGGGGCCGACATTTGAGTTCAAAACAATTAAACCAAGCAAGGAATAGACAAGGAAAAACACTGTTAAAATACTGAAGAGATTACTTCAGTTAATTTAAATGAACAAATGAGCCACGCCATGACAAAACCAACATAATGCATTTGCGACCAGCATGGATCCAGACCAGCCTGCGCATCCGCACAGTCTGATCAGGATCCATGCTGTTCGCTTACCAACTCTATTACAAGTAGAGAAACTGATAGTGAACAGCATGGATCCTGATCAAACTGTGTGGATGCGCAGGCTTATCTGGATCCATGCTGGTCACAAACGTACTATGTTGGTTTTGTCGTGACGCGGCTCAAATCAATTCAAATATATACACTTAGAAACAAAATGGCGATTCTTCAAACTAATCTTTTATTACCATGTACATGTACTTCGTTTTCAATAATAAGTAAAGTGACAGTTCTTTAAAATTAAAAAATATATACTTTTCAATGATGTTGGAAAATGTTGGAAATATTTTACAGGTAAGTGATTTTATATTGAATGTTTTTATTACTTTACTATGCATGCATATGACATAACTGAAATTGATTATTTACAGTGAACAATTAATACTCATATATTTACTTCTACTTGAATTTATAATCAATCAATTTCTTAATACTTTCCATGATTTTTTATTCCAGAAATTCAATTTTTACTGTTTATTCAGAATAAATAATTTTAAAACAAAGGATGTATATACATACGTGAACACGGTTTATTTTTTAACTCTACATTATTTCTTATACTTGATGTTGTTTAGTTTTGTTAATTTGAAAAATTAGTTTGTTTTTCATTTCTTATTTCTGAAAAGGATTTTATTTTTTTGTTATTTTTTTTTTTAAATAATAATGTGCCTCCTTTAAAGATTAATAACATAAATATTATAAAAATAGATTGCTTGCCTTTCTGTCAACCAGTATAGACCTTGTGTCTAAATAGACAAGGTCCTTGTGGGTGGGGATAGGTCATAGGTTATCTACATATGTACTGTATAAAGTAAAACAAAAAATGTTTGATATTTTACATGAACTATTTTCCAGACGACTTCGGTTATGTTTGTTGAAAATATAGCTCGAGGGTTTAAATTGACCAAGCCCTTGGGTCATAATTTTTTCTTATAAGTATAAAGTGAATATTCCAAATGTCATATTTTCTAAAACAGTTCAGGCCAAAGCTTAGGTATTTGCATGAAACATATTCTTATGTGTACCTTTAACAAGTTCGTTCAAAATATAGCGCTGAGGTCTATATTAACCCCAACCGTAGGTGAAAGATTTTTCTGAGATGTATATAGATAACATTTTAGATGTATCCTTCTTTAATACCATACCTTAGATATTTGTACTGATGTATACTATAGCGGACATCTACCAAGTTTGTTCAATCATTAAAAAGCCCTTGTATTAAAGTTGGACCCGCAGAAGGGACTCATGGATTGTGTGTATTATATGTATAATTACTATGTTTTAAAAATCTCTTCAATTCACAAGGGCTAGAGCTTTCCCTGGTCCCGGATGGATCATAGATAGTTATTTCCTTGCATACAAGAAAAAAATCATTATTAGTTCTGTTAAGATGTGTTTATCAATCAAAGGTTGAACTGTATATTTGTACATAATTTTTAATGTACTGTTTATTGTTTTATGTGCTAGTCGGGGTTGATTTTTTTTTCGACTCAAGAATATACAAATGTTTATAGTTATCTATAAGTTCTTACCATTTTTTTTTTGCATTTGAGTTACTGTGTATCTCATTTTCAAAGACGTATATGTGTATACATGTATATAATTGATATTCAATGTTCAAAAATACATGTATATTACCAGTGTATATGTAATAAAGAAAATTACATACATTCATGAACACAATAAGCATACATCCAGAAGGATGGGATATTGTCATGTTATTATAAACCGTCATTGTATAATTAATGTTTCAAGAGTATCTTTTTATTATCAGATTTGTCTATGTATTTATTGAATTAATGCACAGTTTGATATTTGGTTTTCTATTCTTTGGTATTGTATTTAGTTTCAGTCTTCTTATTTCTAGTTTAGATAGAACACAACTGAACGCAATTCATTGACTTATTTGTAATTTGTTACAAGAATAATGCCAAGTAATATATTCATTACATCCATGTAAGACATATAAAAGCTGTAAATAATTTTGAATTATCGCTTTCTTTTGCGTTTCATTTTGAAATTTCTAACATATCAAAAATATTGTAAAGAAATAAAACTACTGTGTTATACAAATAAATATAGTGTTACATTTTCTGTTACAACAATGTTACATCTTTGTAAGCCTGCTTATTCCGATTTTAATGATTTAAAGCAAACAAATTATCAATAAAATATTTTCAAAGATATCATATTGTAACGAACTCCTATAAATGACCCATTTGTGCCCTGCGTATTTCTATTTACATTCGTCTTCAGCAGAGAAAACAATTCTAAGAGATTTAGACATAAATTAAATTGCTATGTTTTATTTTGATAAATGCATGTACATAAATGACAACTTGTATCTTCTATGTTTTAGTTCACCTGAGTGCATTATACTCGTGGTGAGCTCTTGGGATCGTTGGATGACCGTTGTCCATTGTTTTACAATTATACAATTACTTTAAATGATTTCACGTCAGTAATCTTCTGATCAAATTTGGCGAGCTTTCCCTTGAATATTGCTTGAATTTTAAAGATCTTCAAACGCTTATCAAATAGTAATAACTATTTTAATTTCTGGGTCACAGAAGCTATCACAGAACTGCAAACTTTAAAAAAAAAAGTCCACTACAAAACGGCAATGACTAGAGCTTAAGAAACTGTATTTGTTTGTGTTTTTTATTTTTATTTTTTTTAATAAATTGTTCTATTGAAACTTCAAATCATGCTCTGGGGTTAAAATGACCCCGTTTTAGGGGGAACATCTTTAAGTTATTCTCCCCTTATGGTCAATGCAACTTATAGAGCTCACGGATTTTATTTGTGACATTGTCTAGTTAAACTCAAATTAAGTTTACAAATAGCAATGAATTTCAGTTAAGCGAAAAGGGGACATCATTGCCCTCTTGTTACTTTTAGATATTTTTTTTTGCATACATGATTATATTTTCCTTTGTACTATTTTTATAATTTACACAGACAATGAGTTTGGTATTAAGAACGTATTCAATATAGCACTCATTCTCTAGAAATGCAATCTTATCAGTATTTATACCTTCACACAATTGAATCTGTATCTAAAATATGTGTTTGTTCTGTCGGCTGGCGAACCGTCATTCTTTTTCCCGGCCATCTCTCAAAAATATAGGAGGTGTCAACTTTATGTTTGGTTAAATCTCATAGCCTTTAGTGTTTATGATTAATTGCTCATTGTACTTCTTACTTGAGCATAACTCAAAAAGTATTGGACGCATGACCATAAAACGTAGACGATTAACACATGTCTTTGGGGAATAGTGCACTGCTGAAGATCCATATCTCTGTATTGCTTGATTTTGCAGTAATTGCCCTTAATAAGCTACTTTGTAAACTTAATAAAGGTCCTCGGCATAACTAGAAAAAGTTATTTGTGTTTTCTATTTAAAAATCTACAGTTTAGTTGATCTCAATAAAGAACATTACTGGATTTTACATTCTACTTGAAACGACTTTGGTAGACATATCTTATTGGAGTGTATGCAGTGTCTTAATTTTGTAGTTATTGCACTTTGTAGTAGTTTAGACTACATTTTGAGTAAACCAGCTTTTAAGTCCATATGATGTTTGAACAACAAACGTCAAACAAGATTTTTGTATTAGGAGAGAGGCTGTTGTGAAACTTTTTTGAAAAATTGATATTTTATTGACAAAATGTTTTTTTGTTTTCAAATAGTGTGGTTAATATACAATCATCTAATACTTACAATATATAGGTGTATTTATGCATTTTCCATAGCTTAATATTGAAATTTCATATTATACACATTTTTCAAGCTTTAGAAAAGATTAGAATTAATATTTTACTGTATAAGATATTATTTAGCAAAGGGAGATACATTGTAATATATAAAGGTACATTTTGTTATATACATTTTAATTATTGTACTGTAAGTGTTGTTTGAAAGTATGATATGTTTACAGACATTTATCTTTTTATGGATTGATATTCAATGCCTACATTATATTATTGTCCATATGTTTAATCGAATTAAAATTGTGAAACAAATTGATGTGTTAGTTATCGTATACACAAATGTACGTTAATCAGTTTCGCTGCAACGAAACTTTGAGGTATCTAGCTGTACACACTTATCTTTGATAAGTGTCCTACTGGGGGAAATAATCATAATGTGCAATAGTACTTGTAAGTCACGGAAGTAAAGAGCACATAATATCGACCTGTAAAAGTTTCTTCATAAACTACAGAAGGGTGTTCGTATTTTGCAGATGCAGAATTATTGTGAACACACATCGTTTAGGCGGCTTTATTATGGAGTTACAATAATATAAACCATAATAACAGGGAAATAAACCTTTTGATTATGTTGTCTAGAAAGAAATAAAAAAAACTAGATGCATTATAAAAGCATAGGTAAAAAAACAAAACAAGCTGACCGCATTACAAAATGTCCTAGATATAACATCTTAACCAAACAAGATTGGTTCATAATCAAAGAACCTTTATGTTAAAGAGCAACAAGCTGGATACGTTATACGTAAACGTACCAAAATATAGCGATTAAAACAAACAATATGGCGGTATTATAAAGAACCTAGAAAATAAGGAATTAAGGTGGATGGCCGCATTATGAAAGAAGCCTAGATATAAGAACTACTCAGGTTGGTTGCATTAGAAATAACCTACATTTAACAACAAAAACAAACAACTTTGCTACATTGTAAAACCAAAACACGCTTGCCGCTTTATAAAATGACGTAAATATAACAACCAAAACAAACAAATTTGCTACATTGTTAAACCAAAAAACGCTTGCCACTTTATGAAAGGGCGTGAATATAATAACCA